TGTTTATGTTCTGGCCAACGACGGACAGAATTCCAGGGTGCATTTTTTTAATGATAAAAATGCTGGCGATGCATAAGAGGGGGCAGGAAGGTGATGACTTCCTTCACTAAGAATAAAAGCGAGAAATATTATTAGTGAATATCTCTCTCTCTCTCTCTCTCTCTTTTGTTTTCTTTCTTTCTTTCTCCTTCTATATTGTATTTTGTACATAAGAAGAATGTGTTCGCGACTGTAAACTATTTAGGTTTCATTTTAGTTCGAGGAGATGTACTCGTGCACGCGGATACATCCTAAATCTTAGTTACGCAAGATCGTCTTACGATATTGAATCTGGCCACGCATGTGCAATACTTCACTTTGCTGTTTGTTTCGTATTCATACCTCGAGTCCAAGTCATAATCTTGTTCTGTCAACCGTTTGATTAAAAATGTAAAATAAAATGTTAATAATTTATTACTATTTTCATTTTTTATTTCGTTTAATTTTTTTGCGAATTTAATTAAACACTTGCGTTATAAATCAAAAAAATTTCATGAAAATTATGAAACATGTAAGAATTTTCAACAAAGTCGGCTCCTGCTTTATAAGCCACGCACGTGATTTTCTGCTAACAAGTTTGTGAGGTCGTATCATAAGATCGGCTATGTGTGATCGCTGAACACTTCAATTATATAACCGTAAACAACATCAGTTAGATTCTTATTAAAATGTTGTTGCTATTAAATCACCCAACGTACCCAATGTACGCATTCATACATTTTATAAAAGAAGGAAAAAGGTTGCATTAGTATTGAGGCGTCCTTGTGAATTATATATATATCGTGTTAAGTAAGCCCATTTTGAGTAAACTGTCAGCTTATGTTGATAAATATTGGCATTAAATTTTGAATCGAACCTGATAAAAATTGTTTAGTACCAGGCGGCAGCGTTTTGATCTTTTGATTTTTATGGCTTTTTTTCTTAGCTCCTGCTGTCATGTGTGTATGTGTGCATTCATTTGTAACCGGGTGAATTATTCCTGCTTTCATGCTAAGCTTAAGTTTTTTAACTCATCATTTGTGAGGCGTATTAGACGAGTAGAGGTAGGAATAGATCAACCCTGATCAAGCATTTTATGTAAGTCACAGGGTCACTGTATGCGCGAGGATTCTTCAACTTTTTACATAGGCGCGATAAGATTTTTATCTTAGAATACAGTAAGTCTTGACGTACGTTCATGTCGTTTTGTTACGCCAGATAGCCGGTGACGCATGACCAAGAGGGCACGCAGAAATTATGGTGTGCGATGGTTCGTCATGGAACCCAAGTTTCACTGACAGATGGAAGTTTGCTAAAATGTTATCGCATTCGGTGGAATTTTAGTCAAGAATCAATTGAATATCGTCAGCTCTTGCTTATCTTTTACTCATCAGACAATGACGCGCTACTTTGCTCATTTCTCGGTTTTAGGTAGTACGTCTGCCTGCCATTAACCATACAAAAATATGAATGAGACGAAAACATTTCCTCAGTAGAGCCTTAATTCCTTACCCAGAAAACACTGCGCACGCACTTTTCATTCAAGCTCTGCTTAGTATAATGGGAGGGGCATGAGTCCTTCATTTCCGTCCTTCCACCGATTCTGCCGATAATCATCATCTTCTACTCCGGGCGCTGGCAATCGTCCTTTCACTTATGTGATTATTGAACTGCACGTTTTTCTAAAGTCAAATACTTGAGTCTGTGCGGATTGCGTCTGAGAAGAATAAAATCTTGCTAATTATGATTACTTTTTTGATTCGCAATAAAGCCTAAAGCTGCCTTTTCGAGTCAATCTCAAGCAAGAGTTATTTTTTTGGGAAAGATCTTTTAAAGAAATAAAATAAATCCAAACATATACGTGGATTATATATTCTGAGCTTAGTTTAGGTTAAGAATATTCAAGGTACAAGCAGTACTTGTTTTAAGAAGTTACGCGTCTTAGACAATAAGAAAGCAGTAAAGTTCATAATATATAATAATATTTCTTCAGTGAAATACACCAATTAGTTGTCTATTGAAATTTTAGTGTTTTAGAATCCAGTGTGTTATTCTACTCATAGGCCTTCTTCATTGTACTCAAAATAAAATGTCCCCCCAACAACAATATCTAATAATTCTCTTACTGTTTTCTATTCAAAAGTTTGTGAATAATCAAACCTATCTAAAATAATTCAGGAAATCATTTGGCAAAATGTATCTTCTTTATGGAGAACATTATACAGTCTATTGTCCTCCAATGAACTTGTTCCCTGGAAACATATCAGATACAAAGCAAACTTTAAAGTTGAGCTGAATAAAATAAACGCGTTCTCTCCGCATATAAAGCGCGATAAATACCAGAAGTTCCTCTTTCTCTTCTTCCAGAAGTTCCTCTTTCACCGATAAGCTTATCTAAAATAATTCAGAAAATCATCTGGCAAAATATATCTTCCCTATGGGCAACACTGTATAGTCTACAGTCTTGCAATCAACTTGTTACTTGGAAACAACATGAACTTGTTACAAAGGGAACCTTAAAGTTGGGCTGAATAAAATAAACGCGTTCTCTCTGCATACAAAACGCGATAAATACCAGAAGTTCCTCTTTCTAAGTCGAACATATTTTCACTGCACAAACATCCATAAAAGAGACAGAGAACATGAAATGATCGTGTCCCGACCTACAAAGTGCGTATATCGGCTGGAATAAATAAATTAAATGAACGAACATTTTTTCATTTCATATGTCACTGAAGAATGAATGAATGCATCAAATAATAAAAAAATGCTTCTTGTTTTTTTCTCTTTGTGTTATTTGAAAGTACACGCGCCCGTTATGTTTGCATATTGGGCCGATCAGTTTTATTTATATTTTGTAAAATTTGAATATTTTCAACTTAATTACATTTACATTCGAATTTTTGACCTTCGCAGGATGTATGTGTTAATATGCGATACGTGCATGCGTGTGTGGACGCACAAGTGTATGAAATGATTGAATTTTTATTATGTGTAACAAATTTAACACTTGTTGTTAATGTTAGGCAAATAAGCGAGTTTTTCGTTTTTTCGTTTTTTTTTTTTTTTTTTTGTAATAATATTTGAACAGTTTCAAGTGTACTGAGCTTGGCAGTCATTCAGTCATCTTGCGTTGTAACGAGTTGGGTAACAATACGATATAACATATTATTAAAGTGATTTTCTAGCCGCGAGCAAAACGAAAACTTTTGAAATCGTTTAACATAATGTTCCGCTAGGCTGTCAAGGTTTATTTAGAATGATTTCTTTCATATCAGTTTGGAAACTAGCACTGTCATCGTTCGATATCAGATTCGCCGAAAGGGAATGAAGGCGAATACTAGCTGTAGGTACTGGCGAGCTGTCAATTAAATATTAGCAAACGATTTCCTTAGGTTAGCCAAATAGAAATGAATCAAGTTTCATAGAAAGTTATTTTTAAGCTTTTGCTCTTGCCGAGGCGAGTAAACTGATGTTGGGCAGATGGGTTCAAGGTAAGATTTGTGAATTTCAAGATCGATTCTTAAGCACGGCTCGTTGAATTCAACACAAAGTCCTTAATCCGATGCCGGGAGTTCAAGAAAGGCCCTTAAGCAACGTTCCTTTCATTCAAGATGAAGAAAACTTCTTAATGTGATCCACGAAGTTTAAGTCAAATCGTTAAGTAGGGTTCATTAAGTTGAGATTTTGAGTTTTTGAATATAGTTCGCGCAGTTCGAGATAAGTTATTAAATATGATGCGCGAGAGCGAAGCCAACTTCCGAAGTATGCTTCCTGGTATCCAAGATAACCTCCTAACCATGGTTTTTGAATATGGTCATTAAACTATGTTGCCTTCATTTAATGATGCGCTGTACATAAATAGGCGGGCGAAGCACATACAGCGCAAGGTGAGGGTCAGTAGTATTGTTAATCGCTTTAAAGTGCTCTTTTATATATATTCGCTTGAAAAAGTCGAGAGAACCTTAAAGTGGACAAACGTTGCGCAATAAAAATTAACTTTACAGGAAATAAAATATTGCGTAATACTCCTTCGATGACGTCTTCACTTGCCGTATCGTAGAAAGATAGAAATGATTAGTGCTGCCCGGGCTGAACTAATCAATTGCTGTTTGTATCGAGAACGTCGGAATCGTTAATGCGATTCATTGTTTAAGTGTTTCATTCGCAGTTAGGGAATAGTCCTACTTCGTGTTTCTTAAACAACCTTTTCAATTTTCGTAATAATATGAATGGATTCTTAATCTGCTGACTGGACAGAGTTCATGACTCATTGTTTATTCTATTCAAATTAAGGTGTGGTGGCTATTGGGTTCCCAAAGATCACAAATCTTTACAATTTTTTTTGGTTTTTTTTTTAATTTTTTTTTTTTTTTTGTAACAAGAATCGATTGTACATTCGAAAGACTTTGTACACGTTTCGCTGAACGAAAACCTTGATATAAAAAAGTTTTATTGATATACATGTCAAAATTAAAAGCGTTAGGCATAATAATATACCTTTCCTATACGCCCACTATTACACGTACAATGACTGCAGTTTGATTTCAAGCAAAATTCATTAATTTGACTAACGGCCATTGAAAAAGTAAAATAAACAAAAATTTATCAAAATCATAAAATCATGCGAATATATGTGCAAATGTTATTTTTATCCGGTTATAATCACTAGGGGGTAAGCGAAAATCGAACTGAATTTAACTGATTTATAACGTGCCAGTGGTTCACAACTTTTTTATTGCCAAAGTTAGGCGACTCTAGGGCTATTTTCTAAAAGAAACGCCACGAACTTTCTCCTTGGCTTATTGTAAACATAGTCAGTATCTGGCCTGTTCAGTGCAATGATGTTCATAACCGAGCACAATAAGTTCTATAGCTAGATACATACAAATATTAAGTAAATCTTACTTATGTTTATCCGGCTTCATCGCTCACAAAGAACAAATGTGTTAAAATTCAGTAATAAAAGAAATATTCATTAAATAAATATTTTAATAAAAAAAACTCACTTAAAAAGTGCCAAATTAATAATAGCTTTTTGTTATGTCTTTTAAACAATTCCGTCTTAATATCTTTTCGAAAAGCACTTTTTTCCCAATTATATATATAAAAAGTCACATTTTCAGTTCAAGACGATCAAACACATTAACGAGAGGTTTCAATAATGTTTTCGACTCCTGTCATTTGTTTCTTACTCTTGATTTGCAGTCTGTACACAACTGCTGCCATGGGCAACGCTGGTTGCAGCCAAGTCTGCACTAGGGAATATGAGCCAGTTTGCGGTACCTTAAAGTCGGGCGATAAACTTATGCATTGCAGTTTTCCAAATAAATGCCTTTTAAACGTGAGGAAATGCAAACACCATGAAGGTAAGCACATTAAAAAAAGAAAATATTTGAATATTTTTCTCAATATTATTTCTCTCAACTAAAGATTGGTCTATGAAACCGGGAGTTTGCTTTAAGGATACTAAAAACTGCCGTACTATACTGACAGACTAACGTAACGTAATCAGGACGGCCGAGGATAGCGATAACGATGTTTAAATTTCTTTTTTAATTTTAATTTTATTTTCTATACAAATTGTAAATAAATTTTAAAGCAAAATTTCGCCATAATACATATTTCACTGAAGGCCTCAATTAGGAAAATTAAACTTGCTTGGTACCCTGATAAATCGTTCCGGCATATTTTCCTTCTAATTTATTTGAAACAAAAAAAAAAAGAAGAGAAGAAGGACGTATACTGTTGTTTGGCACGGATTGTTGTGGTCCAATGTACTCGACAACATGAAACCCGGGCTGATAGCGTTTTGGTGTCAGTTTTATTTGTGACGCTCTCCAAACCAATCGCGTTACCCGTATCCTTACCTTACCGTTGACGTTCATAGTTTCGCACACTTCCCAGTATAGTTTACACGAGTTCTTTTTGCTTAGTGCGTCCCTCATTAGACTTCTTCTTCTATTATCTACTCATTTTGAAAACATATCACAGAAGGATCGAAGGATAAAGGATAAGTTTGGACCATGGCTTTTCAACTAACTATTCTTCAATGCACTATAGGGATGAGATCGTTACTATCAACTACAAAGTAATTTCCGATCCGAATACTTGTATAATAGATTTGCGGTGGTCGGTACGATGGCAATCATAACATACCGATAGCCTAACTAAAGTTGTGGGCTCCAGATGTAAAGCTTGTAGATAATTTCCGAATTCGATCAAAGTTTCGTAAGCATTTCTTAATGCAGTTGTGTGTGTTGTAAACTCAACATAGGCGAATCAAAACAGAGATACTTTGCCTTCCCGATAAGTCTAAATGTGGCAATGTAAGAACGGATTGAAGACATTTGCTTCCTCCTGGGTGTTGTAGAAGTAAAGCATACAAGTTATACCGCTGAAGTATACAAAGCAGCGTTTTTACAGGTTTTGAATAAGGCGACTATTGTGCCAAAGAAAGGTCACCGTAGAAGCTTTAGAAGTGTTATTATTTGAAATGACGAAAAGCTATACCGAGTCTTGATAGGCGATATGAAGTGAAAATCATGCATTATCCGAAATGCATGCGGTAAGCTATTAAATACAAGCTAATAAAAAGAAGGGTAAAAACAAATATCTGAAGTGTCTCAAATTTACGAAGGTGAGCATTATAAATTTCATCATTTGACGCAATGGATCCGAGAAGCGAAGGCAATGCACCAAAGGGATATGATATCACATCACATGGTTTCTAGCATAAGGAAAGCGGGCCCTTTAAAGCAAAACATTAGTTTCATTTCTAGCTTCACTGATGCGAGGCTTTGCGATGACATTAAACTGAATCGCTGAGGGATTATAGGTTTGGAGATAAAAAATAATGATTTACCCATTTTACAACATTGAGAATTTACGCGAAACAAACTACAAAGCACTCAAATGGCAACGAACATTGATTCGTTCAGAACATCGACACCTGTTTGGTGATGAAATTCAAAAAACCAGAAGATGCTGAAAAAGCCACCAAGTGATTAAACAAATTGGAGTTTGTAAGAGCTTCAATGAGTTACTTCTCTCGTTGCTTTCATCAGGCATTACTCTTTTTGATTGTCACTGATTTCAGTCAATGACTTATGACTTCCGTCTGTCTGTGCCGCGCATCTTCTATTACGACAATACTCAAAACGTTTTTTTGATAGCAACCCTGCAGAGGTAGCTTTATACTTTGTTAAATGCCGCGGCTAGCGATGAACGATTCTTTGAATAGAATAGAAGATCACCAGTGACGAATCAATTTTTCTTTCAAAATGTATAACTTGTAAAGATTCCGTTGAGCATATTTGAATGTTACTCTGCAGTCCAGTAAATACACAAAGTGTATGTAATCCGTACAACTGTTATTCGTTAGACAATCAAAGATCGTACGTTGGTTATGGCTTTTTTTTTTGTTTTACGAAACAAAGGAGATATGTTTTCAAAATTTCATTTACAAAATATTGATAAGTAAATGTTTAATCGATAAAAGTTAAATGAAAAATACTTTTCACTTTCCTATATAAACTTGTTCTAATTTTGGAATTGGTCAGTGCAGTTACATTTATTAGAGGTATTACATCTCTTGAAAGCAACAATTTTGGAGGAAAACTTTAGAAGAAATTTTTTTTAAAACTATATTAATAAAAATTTTCCAATGGTTTTGATAATTCGTGTACTATGCCTGTTAATGTTCGCCTTCGGCCTATGTATGGCGGTACCCATGATCTCGGCCAGATGTCATTTATTTTGCGAAAATAAACGTGACTACGTTTGCGCTACTCATCCCAGTTGGAATTATATGAATTGCTCGTGGCTAAACGAATGCATGGTGCGGCGAAGAAATTGCGAATACAAAGAGGGTAAATGACTTGAAAAATTATTTCTTTAGGAAAGAAAAAAAAACGTTAAAATTTTGTTAATGTTTTTACATAAAGATTGGCGGGTTGTCAATAAAGGTTATTGCGCGAAAGAGAAAAGAGGCTGCAATACGATTAGGTACACGGTCGTTTGGACAATTCCTTAAAAATGTGAACTTTGAGATTTAATTTTTTACTTTAATTGTTTTCTTTTATGTTTATGTTTTTTAATTATCTCTATTTTTTTTATTGATAATGATTTCTTTGTTAATTGAAATATTTTTTATATGTTTGTAAATAAATTTTAAAACAAAGTCCGGCTTGATAGGCAATTTTTCTCAAGGTCTCCAACAGCAAACTTAGATTTTTGTCGTTCAAGGTGTGTTTTCCGTAGCCGTACGCTAGCTATAGCAATGGATTATTCCGATCCAATACACTTGACAACAAGAACTGTATGTGAAAGTATGTGATTTGCGCAAACATTATTACACTTTGAATAGGTTTTCAACGAAGTCATTGCACCAGAAGATTGTCGATGGCACTCAACGGTAATGACTTTACGACCAAAAATTGTAATTTTTCCCAATTTTCTTTAGGAGCTTAGTAGCGAAATCTGACTTCGGCCTGGTAGTCTGTGTTTTCCGATGAAAACGTTCCAAACGCTAAAAACCGTTTGCTTGCTTCTGGGCGTTCTAGAAATAATGTACCCCTAACTTTTCGGCGGTAAGTAAGACTGACCACGAAATTATGCGCATTAATTATGGTAAATGTATGAAAAGCGGTCGCCTTTTCGTTTATACATCATAGTTTGCAATATGTGCAATATAAAATGAAGATATAGTGTTACAAGGCAAGCCTCACTTCACCCTTGAGCGTTTGTCAAGCTTCTCTGAATGGTTAGCCTTTAAGCAGCTGCATAGTTTATACAGCTGGACTTTACAAAACGTAGTTTTTATTATCTTCGAATAAGTCAAGTTTGCTCGGCTGAGGTTTCGCTCTCCGGTTTGTCCAGGATTGAGTCAAAAGAATCTTCTTTTTGATCAAAACAACATTTGCTAGAGGATGGATTTAATGGGAAATTATGAGTTTGTTTATAATTTCTACGTAATTAAGGCCAGTGGTGGAGGGATATGTATAGACTGTGCAGCAGTGTGTGTTTACCAAAATGCTATTTAAAATTTGGTTTAATTCCAAGTAAATGATAAATGGTGATCATTCGGATAAACTAAGATAAATTCGGTCGCCAAGAATGTTTCAAGCGCTGACGTCTGCTGGGCACGATTGCTTTAGAGAGGGGGAAAGAAAACAGGTGGAGTAGTAAAACGCACCGGTTTTTCCTTTTTTAGGCTCAGACCATTGCGCCATCATGGAAACCGCATGTGGTTTTCTTTTACTTCCTTGAAGAAGATCATATCCCAAGCCTCGAACCCGTCGTCTCTGTAGCCTACTTAAAGATAACTTACTACTATGGACTAATGCTAGTCCAGCTAATCTTAACTTAATCGTAACATCCTTCATCTGAATCAGGAAACATGTAGAGTCAAAATAAGGAGCGACTTTGGCTCTTCACCACTTTAATGCCAAAAAGAGACAAACAAACAAAAACGTTGCTGAATCGTGACGGATGTCGAACAGTGAACACGTTGCAGCACTCGGAATACAGGAAAATCATAGTTAAGGTTAGACTAACTGTTGAAATAATAGCGAAAGCAAATGCCCACAGTGAGTCCAATTTGGAGGCATAAGCTGGCCTCTAGTGCGTTATGAGGTTATCTAACCAAACCGTTGCTAGAGGACGCTATCAACAACAATACCTGATGCAACCTGGTTGGAAGGCGGGCGGAATATACCAAAAGATGTGATCTCTTGAATAAAAGATTTTTTTCATTTTCGTTTTCGTTTTCTATTTTTTTTTTTTTTTTTTGAAAGCAGCTCCTCCTTCCGTGGAAAAGGTAATCAGTAAAGAATTAACTTTGTACCTAAAATAAATGTAACTTGCGAGAGACTCCCTTAAATTATTCTCCAGTCCTGAGTATGAGAAATATACGTAAGCTGTACAACTGTTATTAGTTAATAAAAAGTCACGTGTTGTTTATGGTTTTCTTAAGTTTAATATTAAACACGGCAGAGATATTTTTCAATTTTCATTTAAAAAGCTCGATGCTGAAGTTAAATGAAAAATAATTTTCGCATTGCTATATAAGTTTGTTCTGATTTTGAAGAACTTCAGTGCAGTCACATTTGTTAAAAATATGAGATCCTTTGGCGACGAAAATTTGGAATAAAATTTTATAGAAAATTTGCATTAAAACTATGCAAGCTTTTCCAATGTTTATTGTTCGTGTAGTTGTTGTTGTTTTAATTTTTGCCTCCTGCCTTTGTATTGCGGTACCCGTTATCTCGGCCAGATGTCATTTATTTTGCGAATATAAACGTGATTACGTTTGCGCGAGTTGGAATTATATGAATTGTTCTTGGCTAAATGAATGTATGGTAAGGAAAAGGAATTGCCTGAACAGTGAAGGTAAGCAAAGTTTAAACTTTTCTTTTCTTAAAAGTTTTCAATATAATTTTTCGTTTTTTTCCTAATAGAAAATTGGGAGGTTACAAATCGAGGTTATTGCCAGGAGGAGAGTCCAAATTGT